GAGCTGGAGCAGCTCTCTCACACAGAGGACCCCACCCAGTTTCTACACAACTACACCTTGCTGTCACGTCTCAGTGAAGCTCCAGACTCAGCCAGCATCAATATTCATCCTGAGAGCTACACCGAGGATGTGGCAGCAGCTGTGTCAGAGACCAGAGAGAAACTGCAGTCCAGTGTTGAATGGACCATAACTACTGTGAAAGGAGTTCAAGGGAATGTTCATCACACTGAGTCAGAGCCCAAGAGCAGAGCTGAATTCCTAAAATATAAATGTGAAATCACATTTAACCCAAACACAGCACACCAGCGTGTTGTGCTTGGGCCTGGCTTAAAAGCAAAATATAGTCATACTCAGACAATCAGGCACTATGATCACATTGACAGATTCACTGACTGGCCTCAGGTGTTGAGCAGAGAGAGTTTCACAGGACCTTGTTACTGGGAGGTGGAGTGGAGCGGGGATGATGTCTTTATAGCATTAGCTTACAGCAATGTAAGCAGATCAGGAAAAGAGAGTGTTTTTGGAAACAATAGCAGTTCATGGGCATTGGAGTGTTTCAGTGGCGGTTATGTATACAGACGTTCAGGCAGCAGCATTTTCATTAAAGGTCCACAGTCCTCGAGAATTGGAGTGTTCCTGAATCATTTTAAAAAGGGTTTTGATAATTACAATTTTCTGTCCTTCTACAGCGTCTCTGAAAGCACTCGAACCATGACTCTCCTCCACAGAGTCCAGACTGGGCACCCACTCCTGGTTGGGCTCGGTGTATATGGTGGTAGAGCTGAAATCTGTGAGATTTTAAGTTAAAATGATAAAAGTCATAAAATAATTATCTTATGGAACAAAAAGTAAAGACGCTCCATAAACCAAGGTAGTCATAACTGAAGGTAAAATGTCTTTGTTTTATACTTTTTATTAAAAGTAGTAAAAAATGATGTGAAAAGTGATCAGCCATCAGTTCATTGTTAGAAGATGGCAAAGACAGTTTATACAATAAAACTCCGTTTTTAAAGCTTCATTTCTCTAAAAATACTAAAGATTATTTTTAAATCTTTTCTTGATTTGTGACTGACTTCTGATATTTGAGATGATCAGAAAGTTCCTGGTTTTTAGCAATAATTGACTAAATAAAAACTGAAAATGTATTTTTCTGATTGTGTTTTTTGGGTTTTTTTGCATTGTTTCTTTGTCAGAATGTTTCTTAAACAAAATAATGATAATTTCAATGTTTTTGATATACCACCAAATCACAATAACCGTTGCCTGTATGATCAACAGCAATATCAGGTCTTGAAGAATGTGAATCTCCTCCCACTAATTATTTTGTTATACCAGGGCTAGAAGGATTTTCATTGTCCAGAGGATAAAAAAACAAACAAAAATCAGACCAAGTCTATATTGTATGTAACAGATTTGATTGTAAAACGTCTCAAAAATAAAAGTTAATGTCAAAGTCATGTGATGCCATGACAGCTTCCTGTCTGCTGATGTTGTTTAGTGTGGATTATGCTTTTATTGGGAATATTTCATCCATGGAGCGTGAGGTAAATTGTTTCAAAACAGTATTTTAGTTTAAATAACCTTTATTCGATTGTCTCGTATGGCCAGTTTTTTATTGTCTAGCAAATCAGTAACAAAGGAAATATTACTAAAGGTTCTAGAAACAAAGAGACAACAAAAAAGTACTGATCATAAAATCCAGTAAA